CCACAGTCTTGAGCATCTGCCACTCCCGGGAAGCTACACTAGCCAAAACTCTCCGTGACTTTTGGCTAAGTGCATCAGTCATCACAATTGCCTTACCAGGATGGTAATGCAAAATGAAGTCATAGTCCTCTAAATACTCCATCCACCGGCGTTGCCTCATGTTGAGGTCCCACTGTGTGAAAATATACTTCAAACTCTTTTTGTTTGAAAACACTTCAAACTGCTCACCAAACAAGTAGTGGCGCCAAGCCTTCAAGGCATAGACAATGGCCGCCAATTCCATGTCATGAGTAGGATAATTCTACTCGTGATTCTTCAATTGTCGAGAACCATAAGCTACTACCCTTTTGGACAGCATCAAAACACATCTCAGCCCATTCTTCGAGGCATCACAATAGGCCGTGTACCTCTGCCCCCGTTCTGGGACTATCAAGATCAGAGCTGAAGTAAGCCTTCATTTCAACTATTGGAATACCTTCTCACAAGCTTTATTCTACTCAAACTTTACCTCTTTCCGAGTCAATCATAGGCGTAGCTAATCGGGAGAAGTCCTCAATAAACCTCCTGTAGTACCCTGTCAATCCCAAAAAATTGTGTATCTTAAAGACTGACTTTGGCCTCTCCCAATTCATAACTGCGTCAACCTTCTCCGGGTCCACGGATACACCCGAAGCCGACACCATGTGTCATAGAAATTTCACCTCAGTAAGCTAGAATTCACACTTGCTGAACTTGGAATACAATTGATAATCTCTCAATGTCTAGAGAACAATCCTCAAATGACCCTCATGCTCCTCCTTCGACTTGGAGTAAATCAAGATGTCATCAACGAAGACCACGACAAATTGATCTAAATAGGGTTGGAATATCCTATGCATGAGATCCATGAATGCTGTTGGAGCATTCGTCAACCCAAATGGCATCACTGTGCACTCGAAATGCCCATACCGTGTTCTAAACGCCGTCTTAGGGATGTCTACCTCCTTAACCCTTAACTGATGGTAACCGGTATGGAGATCTATCTTGGAGGAGACTCGTGCCCCTTTCAACTGATCAAACAAGTTATCAATCCTTCGCAAAGGGTACTTATTCTTAATAGTAACCCTATTCAACTACCGATAGTGTATGTACAATTGAAGGGTTTTATCCTTCTTCTTGGCAAACAACACCGGAGCGCCCCAAGGTGAAGTCCTCGGTCTAATGAAGCCCTTGTCCAATAATTCTTGCAACTGGACCTTGAGTTCTTGCAACTCAGCTGGTGCCATCCTGTGTGGAGTCGTAGAGATAGGCGATGTACTGGAATGTAACTCAATGGTGAAGTCTACATCCCTATGTGGAGGTAATCCCGATAGCTCATTCAAAAAAACATCCTCATACTCACATATAACCCGAGGAAGGCCCAACTCCTATCCTGCCTCGTCCTCCAGGGTAAGGCTTGTAAACCAACCCATGAACTATCTGTGCCATCTAGAGTCGTACACAGCCTGAGGTAAAGCATCACGCTTTTCCCCCTGGAACTTGAAACAAATACCCTTCGGTATATAAACAGTGACCCTATTTCGATCTCAATCAATAACTACCCGATGTGCTGCCAACCAATCCATACCAAGGGTAACATCAAACTTAGACATGTTCATGACCCTAAGGTCCATGGTGAGTAGAATCCCCGAGATCTCTAACACACAACTCTGACATATCAGATCAATTCTCACCGTAGCTCCTAGTGGAGAACTCACACGCAATGGCTCTTCCAAGGTCACAACCTCTAAGTCTAATTCTTTCACACAAGATGCAGCAATAAATAAATGTGATGCACCAGAATCAAATAATACCCTTGCCCATAAGTGAGAGAGTAGAAATGTACCCTATATCACCGACGGATCTGCCGGCTCAGTCTGAGGTATCATGGCGTAGACACGCCCTTGGGTCCTCGAAGTACCGGCT